CAGTTTAACTCCCCACTCTATTCGTTCGTATGAAATTTCATATAATTTAACTATTTTTTTACCTTTCTGTCAATATATTTATAGTTTGGTGCGGTCAAAAAATGTCATATTTTTTATGCATTTGTTTCATCTAATTGAATACTTTGGCAGTTTTATTTCAAAATCTGACGATTAGTCATCATATAAATAATTATTTAACAAATTTAATACATGCATTGAGTACTCTCTCCATGCAAAACGTATGAACTTTGAATTCATTTTTTGAAGCTTTGAAACGGTCAAAATTAATGAAATTGGTCTCATTCTGTAGATAAATACTTCAGGAATAAGTATGCAAAATTTGAAAAAAAAACTGACGAAAACCATTTTACGCGACTAATACCTTAAAAGAAAAAGGACATAAAATGAAGCAATAACTATATAAAAATGAAAATCAAGCCCTGAGAGAGAGAGAGAGAGAGAGAGAGAGAGAGAGAGAGAGAGAGAGAGAGAGAGAGAGAGAGAGAGAGAGAGAGAGAGAGAGAGAGAGGAAAGTAAAGCTGCTGCTGCATCTCTGAAAGCTGGTAAGTTTCGTTCTCTCTGAATGCGACAGATGAAGAGGGATTATTTATCTCTGCGTCAGAGTCGTAGTTTATGATTATGATCGTTATACTTTCCTTTTTTTGTGACTTATCCCGCTTAGAAAAAGCTAAGTTTAATTAAAAACTTCCATGTATTAAAAAAAATTTAAGTGAGTACTTAAGTGACGTTCTGCCTCGTTATACAATCATTTATAAGTCAGAACATTTCACCTGGATAATTAAATTGTATTATATACACTGCAAAAACAAGTGTCTCATTTTGAGACGTTTTGTCCCATATTTGAAACACATAAGATGTCTTAGTCCACATATTTGAAACAGATATGTGTCTTATTTTAAGACGTTTCAAAGTGTCTTACACATTTAGCAATGCATTTTGAGACACGAAATGTGTTTCGAGTATCCGTCTCACACTAAGAAGACGTTTTACGTGTCTTATACGCATTGAGTTACCTTTAATGTCTTAAAATGAGACACGAGATGAAATTAAATGTCTCAATATAAAACAGATTTTGTACCTCAATGGTTTAAACACTTAAAGCAACTCATTTTAAGACACGAGTGAGATACCAGTTTTTGCAGTGTACTTGTTATATACATGGTGTGGCTAAAGTATGGAACTTCTTAAATGTTTATTAAAATATGTATTTAAGTGCAAAATCTTTGAAAAAAAGTTGTTGAACTTGAAAAAATGTATTAACTTTAATACATTTTTTTAAGCCTAACAACTTTTGTTTAAAACATTTTGTCCAAAAATGTATTTTAAGAAATATTTAAGGGGTTTCATTCTTTTGCCACACCCTTTATGTACATATATATAGAACCTTATCCCGCAATTAATTTCCAACATATTGATTACATATTTCATCAACATAATTTCATTTATTCGTGCGGCGCTTTTATTCTATGCTCCACTAAACTGAAATATCACGTATTTTGTGTATCTCTGAGGATTTTAGGTGTAGGTGGAAAAAGCTTTTGTTCTTTTACATTCAGAAATGTCTCAGGTTCTCGTGAAGGTGGCACCAGGTGGAGATGAGGGTAGATTCGTATTTCTCTCTCTCTCTCTCTCTCTCTCTCTCTCTCTCTCTCTCTTAGGACTTTAGTTTGAAGAGACTTCCAACATAAACTTTATTCTCTCACAGAATAATCAAAATTATAATCTTTAATCTTTTTTTTACAGCTTTCGCGTTTTCCTTATTACCAAACAGATTGCTTTTTAGATACTGTCTTTTCCTCAGTAACGTTTTCATTCAAGTACACGGAGAGAGAAATCTAGCTTTAATAGTATGACACTACCTATACTAATTTCGCATGACTATAGTCACGCTTCAAACGCATGAATTCATACCCAAAAACCATGGGTTATTTTCCTTCTATTGGTACAAAAATCAATTGGTACATTTTGAAGATATTAATTGCTTTTTAAAATAACAAAATTAAAAAGTAAAAAAAATGTACTCCACAAATGAGATAAAATGCTAGAAAAGTACATTTCACTTGTTTTTACTTAAATTTACATTTGAAAATAGTGAAAATCACTGCAGAAGTTTTACGACTAAAAGTGTTGTAAAATATAATTACCACAATATTTCTAAGCAGCCTTAAAATTTTTTGCAACATCCGAAATTTTATTTACAAAGTAAAACAACAGTGTCAATATATTGCAGAAATATTATCTCAATATTGTAGTAAAATATTCCGAAACTTGCCCTACGATATTCAAAGAATATTCTAGCACTATAAAAAAATTCCATAGAACAATGTCTTTTTAAAGCCTGTTTCTTAACTTTATTTTTGCTTTTCTTAACAAAAATTGTTGGCACAAAACTAAATTAAACTTTTCTTTACAAAAGAAAAAAATAAAGTAGAATAAAAAAGAACAATGGAATAAGAAAATTTTTAGACCATTTTTTAGAATACGTTTAATTATAAATCTGCATTCTGATGACATTTAATATGGGGCATTCCAGGCCAAGTCGGAAATCATTTTGCTTTTGCATCTCAAATTATTTTAAACATTTTTTTTTCTTTTAGCTCTTTGAAATGAGCTACCTTGATTTTTTTCAAATTATTTTATAAAGCGGTTCAGGAGATACAGATTTTTGAAAAATGACGTTTTTTACGTAAATTTTTTTTAAATGCTTATAACTCGGTCAAAAATTGATCAAATTGGACGTTTTTATAATGAAAAGTTTTTTTTTTCACGCATAGTTTTTAATAAAAATATTTTTAAATAATTTACGATAAGATTTTAAAATTTTTAAAATAAAATTTCATTTTTAATAATGTATGTATTGATCAATTTTTTTCAAAATTTTTTGTAAGAAACTATAGCACTAAATTATCAATTTTTAAGCCTTGTCTGTTTGTGGGCAAACGATGGGATCTATTTATTTTAAAATTTTTTATTTTTATATACATAGTGAAAACGAAATGCCTAACTTGCCATTTGACCAAATCACAATTTTACACAGAAAGAAGGTTAAGTTTGGAGAGACTCAGTCTGAAAACACATTTGCTATGAAAAATTTGTGTGATTTTGTTAAATGACAAGTTAGGCATTTGGCCACCACTGTGTATATAAAAATTAAAAAATTAAAAATAAATAGATCCCATCGTTTGCCCACGATCGGCTCATTTGAAAGAGTACTAAAAGAAAAAAAATGTTTAAAAAAATTTGAGATGCAAAAGCAAAATGATTTCCGACTTGGCGTGGAATGCCCCATATATATATATATATATGTCGTAGGCAACTAGAAGAATCCGGCATTAAGCTTAATTCCTAGGCAATAAGCTTACTGCCGGCAATTAGACGAATACACGACGAAATCGTTCAGATTTGTCTATTTGCCTAGGCAGTAAGCTTAATGCCCGGCAGTAAGCTTATTGCCCGATGAAGATTCGGCAATTAGACGAATCACATTAGAATCCATTTGCAGTGCACAAACGTCTTATAAAAAATTAATTAAAAACAATAATAATAATAATAATAATAATAATAATTTGCAAAAAAATTTAAACTATAACTATTAGACGCAATTTTTCTTACGAGTTCATTGATACCAAAAACTCATTTTTCACCAAAATGTCAGTTAACTAAGTTTTTATATCACACGGCAGGCACTCTTATAAATATTTGTTATCATTGAGAAATATTTCTTGAGTCTAATAAATATTTTTTGACTCAAAAAGAAAAAAAATTCTTGGATGAAAAAAAATATTTCTTAGGAAAATATAAATTATTTATTTGACTCAGGAAATATTTTTTTTACTCAAAAAATATTTAATTCTGTCCAGAATTATTTAATTGATCCAAGAAATGTTTACTAGACTCAAGAAATATTTTTTTTACCCAAGAAATGTTTAATTCTGTCCAGAATGATTTATTATTATTATTATTATTATTATTATTGTTTTTAATTAATTTTTTATAGGACGTTTGTGCACTGCAAATGGATTCTAATGTGATTCGTCTAATTGCCGAATCTTCATCGGGCAATAAGCTTACTGCCGGGCATTAAGGGCATCCGGGAAATAATACTGGTTTCGTGATAGACATCTCATTTAAAAAGAAAAGAATATTTTGAGTCGGGATTTTTTGGTAAATATAGAGAAATGCTCTGGGACCAGCGGTCCTCTCGGATTTTAGAGAAATTTTGATAAATAATTATTGAAAAAAATTGTTTAAATATACGGAAAAAGGGGGTTTTGAACGGTTCAGTATAGACGTCTCATTTTGAGAGGATAAAAAATTTCGGGTTCATATTTGGAGGGGTGATAGAGGAAGACTCTCCGAGGAGCGGCCCTCTCCGTTTTTGCAATAATTTTGCGAGGAAATTATTTTATTAACGATTGAAAGTGGAGTATTTTGAGATTAATACATTTCCTCAGTTCGAGTCGCGACCACTTCCGAGAATTGGCGCCACCTCCTTGACCACTGACACATAGATCCACTTGTCTGTGTGCTCGCCGCCATATTGCCTCTCACTTTCGCCAAAAATCCAACTTTTGTAATTTCGTTTTTCAATATTTATTTCAAAAATTACTTGCAATTTTCGAGAATATTCTTTATCACCATGAATTCCCCTAATTATCATGATAAATCCGAACTAAATATCTCTAATTATTTAGGAGTGAGACGACACGCGGGAAAACACTTTTTGGGCTCAATTTTTCCCGGATGCCCTTAAGCTTATTGCCTAGGCAAATAGACAAATCTGAACGATTTCGTCGTGTATTCGTCTAATTGCCGGCAGTAAGCTTATTGCCTAGGAATTAAGCTTAATGCCTGATTCTTCTAGTTGCCTACGACATATATATATATGTATACATAACATTTTCTCCGTTTTTGGAGTATATCCAATTTCAATTTGAGATTTTAGTTTAAGATTAACGACAAACAATTGTTTGTTTTAGGGAGGATGAACACATAGTTGGCTCGTACCTGGAGATAGAAGATATTAACCTGGAAGACTACGGTGAATACACATGTGAAGTTAGTAATGGAGTCGACGATGAGATCACTTTACCAGCTCACGTCTATCGACAAGGTATAAAGACTTAATTTTATCAGGATCTCGTTTATTCTTTATTTTTTTTAATTCGCAATACGAAACAGTTCTCCTTTATTGCAAAAAAATTACAAGATTGACTAATTAATGTTTAACAAACTGAAGACTAATTTGTATACCCTACATTCAACCTCCTAAAGTCTGTACATTATAAAATCTCCCGTGCATAAATTTTGACCCGGTCCTGGTCGCGACCATATTATGGGAATCTAGCCAGGCCCTGACCGAAGCCACCACAATTTACTGATCCGAAGCCAGGCCGAAAATCAGGAACAATAATGTGAAAATTTCTGCACGTATATCCTGTTTTCATCATGATAAGCCAGCAAATGAATAAAATACCTAAATTTAATATGGACATACACATTCGCAAACATATTATATCAGGACTTTTTTTAGAAGCCATAATTAAAATGAATAATAAAAATATTTATTTTAATTATAATCTTTAATTCATCTTCTGTATTTTAGGCTGAAATGTTTTCCATTAAAAAGTTCAAATCAAGCCAAATTTTTACCTCGGAGCTTTTCACATTTATTTATGTACATATATATGTATATACTTTTCGAATGAAACTCTTTTAATCTCAAAACGTTTTATATTACAACTTTTTCAAATGCAGGTGCTTTTTCTCTCACTGAGAGACCTTTTGGACTGCAGCGGAACAACATATGAGATAGCAGCTCCACTATGGTTTTAGTGCGCTGCGATACAATTTTGGGCGCGTGACAGTCCAAAATGTTGGTGAGAAGCTCACCGAAGTAGTGGGGATGCCGTCATTGGTTTGCAGCTAATCAACTTTTGGACTGTCACGCGCCCAAAATTGTACCGCAGCAACCCAAAAGTATAGTCCTGTACCGTACCACCAAAATGGTCAGTAGTAGCCTATCGAAAGTCTGCTGCTGACCCAAAGGTCTCTCAGTGCTTAGAACTTCTTTTTCGCATTAATGTTATTGATTATTGATGTTATCGGCCAAAAATATTTTTTTTCTATTCTGTATCGAAAAAAAACAGTAACGTATTTTTTTCGATTTGCTTAACTGTCAAAATTTTCGACTTATGAATTTTCGAAATTTTGGACTTTTAATTGTGTATATAGGTCTATATTCAGTAGCTTACACTGTAAAAAAAGGGAGTTAAATTTTAACTCCCCAGGGGATTCTATAAAAGTCGCACCCATTGGGGAGTTAATGCCAGGGGAGTTAAATAAAGAGAGTTAAAACTTCACACCCAAATGCTAACTCCCCAAGGAATAAATAACTCGCGCGGGTGTTGATGAAGGGAGTTAGTAAATTAACTCTCTTTTGGAGTTGATTTTTTACTCGAAAAATTTCACTCCCGTGTCCGTTAACTCCCTAAATTTTTTACAATGTATAAGTCAGTCCCATTTCGGGACTTTTTGGAAAATCTTCTCTATATTATAAGGTATAAATAAATTTAAAAAAAATATTTAAAAAAATCCGGCCCAAAGTTAAACAAAATTAATTTGTTTATAAAAAAAAAAATTTTTATTAAAAAAATTTTTAAAAAAATTTTTTGTTTACAATTTTTAAAAGCCGAAAGAAAACTAAAACTTTTATTTCTTGACAACTTTTTCCTAAACTCAATATTTTCGGAGTTATAAGTTACTGAATATACACGGAAAGAAAAGGTCTGGAAGAGATATCCATAAAAATATTGTTGAGCAGAATATTGTTGTGTTATCCAATTCAATGGAAGAGACAACTTTCAGAATGGAAGCACATTCCATATTCAATGGATGAGGGACCCATATTATATTGTTGAATCAAATATGGATGTGACATCCATAGGCATGGTTGGGCTTACAATTCATGCTATGGATTTTCACATATGGCTGCCTCATCCATATAAACAAAAAAAAAACAAAAAAATGTCCCAATCAATCTATATTACACAGAAAAAAGTAAATCTTAATTTAAGATCAGTCTTAAATTCAGCACTGTCTGCTCGAATGTTGAATCATACAAAATCCATTGCTTAAATTCAGCATTGACTGTCTTAAAAATGTTGCGTCTTAATTTAAGACTGCTTTTCTGCCTTAAAATAAAACTTTCTTTGTATTGTCTAATAGTAAAATAATTTTGTCAATCCATTTGAGACTTGGATAACACTATACTTAGAATGTATGTTATGCTGATTTTTTAGAATATTATAGCATAATTTTTTAAAAATTGTATAGTCTTGTAAAGTTGGCACTACTTTTTTGAAAATTCAAAATTTGTACAAGATTTCTGGGCACTTTATCAATAGTTCTAGAGTTTTGTAACGATTTTTTAAAAAGTTCTATTGGTTAACAACAAAAAAAGCGAAATTGAAAAAACATAGTGCCAACTTTGCATAGCACTATTGTTTTTCCAAAAAACTGTTCTCACATAATATTCTGAAAAAGAATAAAGAGTTCTAAAGTTCTCTACCAAACAAACCTTATACACTGTAAAAAATTTAGGGAGTTAACGGTCACTGGAGTTGGGAGTGAAATTTTTCGAGTTAAAAATCAACTCCAAAAGGGAGTTAATTCTTAAATTAACTCTCTTTTGAAGTTAATTCTTATCTTTATACTGTGTAAATTTTAACTCCCTTCGGGTAAACTCCCAAATGGGTGCGATTTCTATAGAATCCCCTGGGGAGTTAAAATTTAACTCCCTTTTTTACAGTGTACACAATTATACATATATATAGAACTCTTTCCAACAATACTAGAACTCTGAATTTTAATATTTTTGAAATATTCAAAGTCTTGTACTTTTTTGGATTTTAAGTTTAGAGCAAAATGTGGATGCCAGAACTCTAAACAGAATTCTCAGAACTCTGAATTTTTAAATTTTGACATTTTTGGAAATTTCGAAAATCCAGTAAATTTTTGGACTTAGTGTTTAGTGCAAAATGTCATTAGAATTGCTTGTAGAATTCTCTAAGACATGACTTTTTTTATTTTGTAATAACAAAGTAAGAAATAAGGGGTTGTCGCGCAGGGAGGCGAAGCCCGTCTAGTATATTATAAATTATTATTATACTTCTCGTATAATTGTTATAAATAAATATAAAAATGTAAAACATATATAAAAACCTGCAAGGTAATTTTAATTCTAGTATAATATTATAAATATGTAAATGTTTTAAAATGAAAGAAGGGCAGGACATGTAAAAAGGGTTGAATACTGCTGAATTATTTTCAGTGGATGAACACAATTTTTTGGGGATTTTAAATTTGGTTTTGGAACGTCAGAATCCTATACTATATGTGACGGTCCACGAGAAAACAAGGCTTAGGTCCAAAAAATCAATTTTGATTTTTTTATGGTAATCGACAGATTTTATGTTGCTTTTTCAAATGCAAAAGTCAAAAGTTAAAAATATCAATTACTTTCGACAATATATCGTTTTAAAGATGGGTATGTTAAGCGTAGTTAACCTCAATCGTTGACTCTCCACGATAAAACACGGCTTAGGTCGAAAAAATCAATTTGAGTTTTTTATGGTAATCGACAGATTTTATGTTGCTTTTTCAAATGCAAAAGTCAGAAGTTAAAAATATCAATTACTTTCGACAATATATCGTTTTAAAGATGGGTATGTCAAGCGTAGTTAACTTCAATCGTAGTACTTCAATCGCTCGCCCTGTGAAATTCACGTTTGGGAGCTAAGCCTTGTTTTCTCGTGGACAGTCACATATAAGAAATCTCTAAACGAAAATCTCTCGAAATATCTCAAAGTATAGTAACGCCTATCCCATTGGTTGCTTTCACTCGTGAGCTATACTCAATTGGCTGAATTCATATTTTCTATCTTTGTCTTTTAAACACTTGAAATAGAGAGGTTCATTCACTATACGAACATATACTTACACATTAAAATAAAAGAAGTGTGCGTAAGAGGGCTATCTTCCCTTTATCCAAATCTTTTTCATCATCTTCGTCTTTCAAGTACTTAAAAAAAGAAAGTCTCAGTCTATTTCGGAAATACGTTCGTGAAAATCGTTATCTTAATTAACGCGATTCCTTCAGATATATTATTGACGTAATAAAGTGATTTAATCCAATTAAATAAATTATAAATTAATAAATTATTATTGATAAGAAATTATTTAGATAAATATAATTGTTAAATAAATTTAATTGAATTAATTTTTAAATGATTAAGTTTTATATATTTAATTTATGTAAATAATATTTATGTTTAATTTATTCTAATATAAAATATTTAAAATTGTTAAAATTAAATGTTAGAAAATGTTATGAAAGATTAAATTCAATATAAAAATTTTATACATATTTTAATAACTAATAAAATAATTAATTTTACTAATGTCTTTCATTGCAGATAATAAAACGTATATTTATCTGCTTCATCTAAGAAGTGTGTATTATCTATAAATTTAAAAAGATTAATTCTAAAAGAAATTAATTAAGAAATACATAAACCAACAGAGAAAAGAAGGTCAGAAGAAACTGACAACATTAATAATAAATAAAAGTGTTTGGTTATTAAAAGAATTTTATTATTATATAACGTTTTGAAATTAATAATAATTATATTATTGATTTAAAATAAAATATACGCTACAGTCAGAAATTGTCGGTACGAACGACGGGCGAGCTAAGAAAAATTGCTGCTGAAATTAAATTAACATAGTTTATTGTTACAAAATGATAGAAACTTGGTTCTTAGATTGTTTGAAAGCCTATTAAATTCCTTTGACTGATATATAAATAAATATTATTTTATATTTTTCAGAGATTTTATCACCTAAGATATTTAAAAAAAATTGATTAATTTTTCAATTTTCGTGTAATATGTTTGTGTGGCTGCAAAGTCTAGAAAAATGGGGAGCAAAATTAAAAACTCTTATAATATAACATAATCATTGTAGTCTCAGCTTTTATTTAAGTCATCTTTGAAATTTAAAATTTATTCAACAGTTTTTGAAATATCTAAAAAATATCCAAGTATGTTTTTC